GCTACGATACCACGCGGTGAAAGTGCCATAAAAGCCACATTAAGAGTCATTCCAATCTAATTCTGTCAGTCAGACACTCCATACAAACACACTGGGCTGAAAGCGCGGTCTGAGTTATCCCGTCACTTGGCAACCTTCGAAGTCAGGCCACTTAGCACACCGCGATGGTCTCAGTCACGGATCGCACATGCAACTTAGTGGCATTGCCACTCTTTTTAAATTTTCTGTTGAACCAATGCATTTCGTAGCTGCTCTGTACCAATAGGGAGTTCAGAGGTATTTGCCTATATTTACCTTAATAAGCCTGACCTGACTAAAGTTTTGCCCAGTGTATAAGAGCTTAACGGAATTCAGAGGCTCGGTAGTAAATGCCATGTCATAGCGAACGCTTTCTGGCTACGCGAGCTTGTTACTTCACAGAGTCTGCACTGTTCTATTTGACCGCGGAGGTGTTTGCATACATACAGACTAGGACAGTGCTGGAAGCAAGCATAGGAAAATCAGACTTACATGTTGTTTGTAATAACGCCGTTCCTCTTCATCGAGTAATACCAGATTTAGGTAGTAGCGTACGGTGAACTTGCGGTTCACATCACGCATAGTGGGTGTGAGGTTGTAGGCCGCGAGGAAGAGCCGGATGGGAATAGATTCACCGCGTACGGGAGCACCGTCCATGATTTCGAATTTGGCCAGGGTTTCCTGATCCGAAAACTGGTTGACGCCTAGATCAGAGAGGATGCGGTGTTGGGTAGAATAAGAGATGGGCTTACCTATGCCAGTAGCTTCCCGACGCAGGATCTGGATTTCCATGTATTTGATCTTTACGCGTACCAGGAGGAAGTAGATCTTGCCCACAATCACGTCTTCTAAGTGATAACTGTATGAAGGGAGGTTGATGGTCTGGTGGGGAATGGGATAAACCTACCAGGATTTGTTATATTCGAATTCAATGTGCAGGCTTTCCTCAATGCCAACTTCCATCTGGATGTTGGTATCGGGCTGGGGTGGCCGAAAGAAGGAGTGCACCACAATGTCCAGTTCCTTGGTTATGTCCATGAACCGTCTGACTATTGTTACACGCAGAAAGTACCTAAACGGAGAGGCGGGCGAGTGAAATGAGTGGGAAGATAGGAACGTCAGCTTATTTGGTAATTAATACTTGTACGGATGCGAAGGCTGGGTTATGCGCGTGGAGGATAAACGGAAACTGGAAGTCTTTGTGGCCACTACTGCTTGAGAAGCATCCTTCGAGTGAAGTACATCGACTTCGTCACGAATGAGACAGTCTGCACTCGTTGCGACAACATCGTAAGGATATCCTAGGCAATCCAAGAGAGACGACTGAGGTGGTTTGGACACCTTCTTCGCCGTCAACCTCACGAGCTCAGTGTTACTGGCCTCGACCCTAAATCGTTACCTAATTAGAAACACCGACGTGGTGGTCAATTCAAAACCAGG